GTTGGGAAGTTTACTTTTAAAATGTAATCCCCTACAGATTACAGATTACAGATTACTTGTAACAGAATCCATTAAATTACTTAAAGTGAGTAATGTAATCTGAATACTTTGGATTACTTGATATTGTCATGTTTTTTAAAACTACATGAATGAACCAACCACATCCTGAAAATTCATGTTTGTTTTCTTCAAATTGTCTGAGCCCAAGTCTCCAAACAGTTGTTTGTCGTAGAGAAACAAAGACGAGGAAATCTTCACATTAAATGTTTAATCTGCTAAAAGAAAATAAAAAAAAAAACAGACTTTACTGAACCAAATTAAAAATATTATTGATAGAAGAATGATTTTTATATGAGACACTGCTGCTTTAAATTATGTCCACCTACTGTTAGTGTCATATTGTTTAGACCTGGTTTAGTCCTGGTTTAATCCTGGTTTTAGTCCTGATTTAGTCCTGGTTTAGACCTGGTTTAGACCTGGTTTTAATCCTGGTTTTAATCCTGGTTTTAGTCCTAATTTTGTCCTGGTTTTAGTCTTGATTTAGTCCTGGTTTTAGACCTGGTTTAGTCCTAGTTTTAGACCTGGTTTAGTCCTGGTTTAGACCTGATTTAGACCTGGTTTAGACCTGGTTTAGTCCTGGGTTTAGACCTGGTGTTAGTCCTGGTTTAGACCTGGTTTTAGACCTGGTTTTAGACCTGGTTTTAGACCTGGTTTAGACCTGGTTTAGACCTTTAGTCCTGGTTTAGTCCTGGTTTAGTCCTGGTTTAGACCTGGTTTTAGACCTGGTTTAGACCTGGTTTTAGACCTGGTTTAGACCTGGTGTTAGTCCTGGTTTAGTCCTGGTATTAGTCCTGGTTTAGTCCTGGTTTAGACCTGGTTTAGACCTGGTTTAGTCCTGGTATTAGTCCTGGTTTAGTCCTGGTTTAGACCTGGTTTAGACCTGGTTTTAGACCTGGTTTTAGACCTGGTGTTAGACCTGGTTTTAGACCTGGGTTTAGACCTGGGTTTAGACCTGGTGTTAGACCTGGTTTAGACCTGGTTTTAGACCTGGGTTTAGACCTGGTTTAGACCTGGGTTTAGACCTGGTTTTAGACCTGGTTTTAGACCTGGTTTTAGACCTGGTTTTAGACCTGGTTTAGACCTGGTGTTAGACCTGGTTTAGTCCTGGTTTAGTCCTGGTTTTTGTCCTGTTTTTAGTCCTTACAGTTAAATCTCTCTGTGTAATCCATTTATTTCAACAAAGTAACTGTAATCCAATTACCACTCACTGAAACAGTAACTGTAACTGAATACAGTTACTCATAATCTGTACTCTGATTACTCTGGTACATGTAATCTATTACTCCACAACAATCAAACACTCGTCCGGTTCATTTCAGAAAACGTTTATTGACTTGTGGCCGATGCTTTCGTCCCTTTTTGCTTCCAAAAAAATCTGCATTTGTACAAGATCATGTTTCCCGTTTTCGTCTGCGCTCCCTCCCCCACAAAAAAAAACACTGTACACGTACTCGGAATTTAAAATAAAATAAAAGAACATTTAAAATACAGCGTGTAAAGAAAACACCGACGGCGGCTGGGGCCTTGTTCAGAGAATCAGATCCGAGAAAAAATACGTGGCTTCACATTTGTATCACACAAAGACTCTGTAGAACGTCTGTAGTGCTGGTGTAGTAGTGGCTTCAGTAGTATTTGTAGTAGTATTTGTAGTAGTATTTGTAGTAGTATTTGCAGCAGCAGCAGTAGTAGTAGTAGTACAACATCGAAATACAGTTTCTATATAATGACTTTTTTTTTGTACATACTGTTTGCAGTGATTCTGTTTTATTTCAGTTTCTCTCTTTTGATATTTACATTTTATTATCAACATTTATATTTTTACTCTTTGTTTTTATATTATACTGTGTTTAAATAATTTAAATAATATTCAAATAATTTCTCTTGTGGATCAATAAAATTTAACTAAGTAATAAGTAGTAGCAGTAGCAGTAGTAGTAGTAATAGTAGTAATAGTAGTAGTTGTTGTAATAGTATTTGTAATAGTATTTGTAGTAGTACCATTAGTAATAATAGTAGTAGCAGTAGCAGTAGCAGTAGCAGTAGCAGTAGCAGTAGCAGTAGTAGTAGTAGTAGTAGTAGTAGTAGTAGTAGTAGTAGCAGTAGTAGCAGTAGTAGCAGTAGTAGCAGTAGTAGTAGCAGTAGTAGTAGTAGTAGTAGTAGCAGTAGCAGTAGCAGTAGCAGTAGTAGCAGTAGTAGTAGTAGCAGTAGTAGCAGTAGCAGTAGTAGCAGTAGTAGTAGCAGTAGTAGTAGTAGTAGTAGTAGCAGTAGTAGTAGTAGCAGTAGCAGTAGTAGTAGTAGCAGTAGTAGTAGCAGTAGTAGTAGTAGTAGTAGCAGTAGTAGCAGTAGTAGTAGCAGTAGTAGTAGTAGTAGTAGCAGTAGCAGTAGTAGCAGTAGTAGTAGCAGTAGTAGTAGCAGTAGTAGTAGTAGTAGCAGTAGCAGTAGTAGCAGTAGTAGTAGCAGTAGTAGTAGTAGTAGTAGCAGTAGTAGTAGCAGTAGTAGCAGTAGTAGTAGCAGTAGTAGTAGCAGTAGTAGCAGTAGTAGCAGTAGTAGCAGTAGCAGTAGTAGTAGCAGTAGTAGTAGCAGTAGTAGTAGCAGTAGTAGTAGCAGTAGCAGTAGTAGTAGTAGTAGTAGTCGCTCTCAGATCACTTTAGTCCCAATAATCCCAACAATAACTGAAATATCGCGATATCGTATCGTCAAAAATCTGATAAGTTTTTTTATATGAGCGACGCCTAATAAACATGGAGAAATACATTTCCCAAGATGCATTTCAGCGCAGAGAACATGAAGTTATACAATTTTTGACTTGAATTCTTGGGATTTTGACGTAAATAATTCACACCAAAATAAAAAAAAAAGTGTCCTAACTAGAATTATATCAGCCTTTTCAAAATATCACAATAAATATCGTACCCAGAGATTTGGATATCGCTACATCTCTACTTTTTTGGGTCCGATGTAGATTTCTTTGAACTGACAACCGATATTTTTCTTACTGCTGTGGTCGTTATCAAAATTGCTGATATTGTTTGGGACGACTTAGAAATAGATTGGTGTAAAAATAAATAATAATACATTGGAATTGATATCGTAGGGAGACCAAACATCCGTTTTTCCCCGGACATGTCTGTATTTTACATCCTGTCCGGGGAGTCCGGGTTTTTTTTTTTTTATAAAGCGATGGAAATGTCCAGGTTTTCAGTACCGTTCATTGGGACATTAAACTGAGCGTCTCTCGTCTGTGACTCAGACGGAGCGAGACACAAACAGTCGGTCAGTCTGAAACATACTGAAGAACAAATGTGGATTTAACAACGACTTGGACAAGAAATTCTCCGTTTTCCGTCTCGGTCGGGACAAGTGTGAGTCCATGTGCACAGGTTGAGGTGAGAGGACAGTGTCCCTCGTTTATCGTCGGGGTTATGTTCTAAAAATAACCCACGACAGGTGAAATCCACGAAGTATCAACTTTATATTTTACAATTATTCTATCTGTTTTATCCCTCTCCAGGCAGACGTTGCAGATTTGCAACAGCTAAATTCCAAGTACCTACTGACTCCAAATCCATATTTTATGAGCTTTTTTTACTCAGGAGCCTTTTCTCCCATCCAGGCTGATAAACGTGGACGATGCAGACTGTGCAAGAACGACTACACACAAACGACCTGCCAGAAGTGTAAAGTACTTTTGTTTACAAAGGATAAAAAAGTCAGGATTGTATATTATTACCCCAAATTATAATTTTCCCCAAATATCAGATTTTTCCTGATACTAAAAATTGATTTGAGCCTGAGAGGGTTAAATCTGTAAAACCTCAGCACAAACTTTATATACTTTTCTCCGACAGGATCGACAGGTGCAACACTTTTTACTTCCTTCTTTAAACTTGTTGCTGCTGTCGTCCTTTTGTTATTTTCCTTCTTTATGTAACAAACTGAAGATTCATTTATTCCATAATGGAGCCCAACAGCACAGAGTCCTGCACAGGTCCATTTTTGGAGACCCCCAGTACAACACCGCACCTGTGAAGGACAGGACCGCACCTGCCCGTTAACCCGAGATCATATCAAACTTTTGCGCTGCCTACACCACGGACTGAACCAAGACTAAACCAGGACTGAACCAGGACTCAGTGTCAGGACGGGCTCGGAGGTGACGCAGGAGAAAGGAGCGGCTCAGCTCCGCGCCTCACGGAGGTAAACGCGGCAGTCGCCCGATCGCGCTTTGTGGACAAACTGCTCGCCGTTCTCTCTCTCAAGTCCAAGATTAGTCCTGGTTTAGACCTGGTTTAGTCCTGACTCACCCGTGTGTAATTACTACCCGCCTGGAATACACAATACGCATTCATACGGTGAGAAAAACGGTAAAACGGTGAGACTGCGAAAGGTGAACCACGATATAGCGAGAGACAACTGTAGCCCCCCCCCAATGGAAATATGGTCACCCTATTATATCGGTTTATTTCTATTTTTTTCTGTCCTGGTCCAGCAGTCGAACAAAAATACAAACTGTACCATCTTGTGTTTGTCACTTGTGTCGTCCAAAACACTCGTCTGCAGCAGAAGCGTCTCTCCTCTCTGTCCTCTTCTCCTTTAAAGTTAATTTCATGATCACTATTCACGCTTTGATTCGTTTGTTTTGTGATTTTAATCGTTTTAAATTGTTCTCTACAAATAAACGTGTCTCGGCTCTGGAGCAGGACGCGGAGTCGTGAAGAGCGACGGTTTCCAGACGGACGTGATACAAGCGTCAGTAACACGGATTACGGAATGTTTTCAGGTCAAGTCTCGGTCCTGGTTTGGTCCTGGTTTGGTCCTGGTTTGGTCCTGGTTTGGTCCTGGTTGAGTTCTCGGTCTTGATGTGACTTGGTACTCGCCTGAACTTGGTTTAGTTTGACCAGAGTTTGTTCAAAGTTCATTCGTAAAAACAGATCTGACGGTTTTATTTTTCTGCACACGGCGTTTATTGCACTGGATCGTTTTTCGAGAACACTGCTTGACAAAGAGTAAATTGCACAAACTTTTTTTTTTTGTTCAAATGCAGAGTGACCAGATGTTCCAAAACTGGGACCCGGGACAGTCCCAGTTTTGAGTCTGGAGTTGCCAGTCCCAGCAGATTTATCTAAAAAATAAAAAAAAAAACACTGATTTGTTCCGATTTTATTTTATTATTTTTTTCAAAATAAAACCAAAAATTAAAAAAAATGAAAAAATAATTTTCTTCATTATTTGTCTCCAAAACCAAAATGAAAAAAACAAAAACAATAATGATTCATTTTTCAGATTTTGATTTTGTGTTTAAATGAATAAAAAACAGATAACGGACTGAACCAGGACTAAAACAGGTCCAGGACCAGATCAGAACCAGGACCAGGACTGAGACTGTGACTGACCAGTTTAGTCCTGGTTTAGACCTGTTTCAGTCCAGGTTTAGTCCTTGTTTAGTCCTGCTTTAGTCCTGGTTTAGTCCTGGTTTAGTCCTGGTTTAGTCCTGGTTTAGACCTGGTTCAGTCCTGGTTCAGTCCTGGTTCAGTCCTGGTTCAGTCCTGGTCTAGACCTGTTTCAGTCCAGGTTTAGTCCTGGTTTAGTCCTGGTTTAGTCCTTGTTTAGTCCACGTTTAGTCCACGTTTAGTCCACGTTTAGTCCACGTTTAGTCCACGTTTAGTCCACGTTTAGTCCACGTTTAGTCCACGTTTAGTCCTGGTTCAGTCCTGGTTTAGTCCAGGTTTAGTCCTGGTTTAGTCCAGGTTTAGACCTGGTTCAGTCCTGGTTTAGTCCTGGTTTAGACCTGGTTTAGTCCAGGTTCAGTCCAGGTTCAGTCCAGGTTCAGTCCAGGTTCAGTCCTGCTTTAGTCCATGATCCATTTTTTCCATTTTTCATTTAAACACAAAATCGAAAACTGAAAAAAACGAATAATTTTCTGTTTTGTCATTTTGGTTTTGGAGACAAATCATGAAGAAAATGGTTGTTTTTATGTTTTTTTCTTTCTGTGTGGGCGGGTGTGAGTCTCATCCAGGACTCTGACCCGGGTTTGTCCCAGTTTTCACTTTTAAAACTCTGGTCACTCTACTCAAATTTTACTTCTATTTTTGCAAATGAACTCTTGTTTCTCTTCTGCTTCTTTAGTGATTTTTTTTACGTCTTGTGTCCAAACTCGCTGAAAGTCGTGGAAAACGGTAACGACGGAAAATTAAGAGGTTTGGAATTCAGGACAAGTCTGGACCTCTTTGGAGTTTTGGTTTTTTCCCCCAAGTGTTTAAAACTGTGATCAAGTAGAGCACCTCAGAACTTTCACCCAACAATACAAAATATCAACACATTAAAAAAGAAAAAAAAAAATTCTTGGAGTTTTCAGAATGTCTTTTGGAAATATCTGTAAAAAAAAAAAAAATCTACTGGTCCATGAATCCTGTACAAGAAAAAGTTTCCAGTGTGGAGACTAAAAGTAAAAATGTGCAGTTTCTGGTTTGATCCTGGACTCGATTGTGTGTTTAAGTCCCAGTCCTGGTGCAGATCTGGTTTAATACGGGTCTGAATCCCAGTTTGGATCCTGGTCTCGGTCCAGATCTGGTCTGAATACTGGTCTTAATGCCAGTCTTGGTGCAGATCTGGTTTAAATCTCGGTCTAAATCCCCTTTTTGAATCCTGGTTTTGTTTTAGTTGTGGTCCGAATTGGAGTAGTTTTGGTCTGAATCCTGGTCTGAGTCTTAGATCGGGTGCAGATCTGGTTTAAATCCGGGTCAGAATCCCAGTTTGGCTCCTGGTCTTGGTGCAGATCTGGTTTAAATCTCGGTCTAAATCCCGTTTTGAATCCTGGTTTTGTTTTAGTTGTGGTCCGAATTCTGGTCTTGGAGTAGTTTTGGTCTGAATCCTGGTCTGAATCTCAGTCCCGGTTTAAATCCAGGTCTGAATCCTAGTTTGAATCCAGGTTTTCTCGTACTTGTGGTCCGAATTCTGGACTTGGTTTAGTTCTGGTCTGAATCCTGGCCTGAAACCCAGTCCTGGTGCAGATCTAATTTAAAACCTGGTCTGAATCCCAGTTTGAATCCCGGTTTTGGCATAGTCCTTGTCTGAATACTGCTTTGAAATCCAGTCCTGGTGCAGATCTGGTTTAAATCCAGGTTTCAATCCCAGTTTGAATCTTGGTCTTGCTCTAGTTCTGGTCTGAATTCTGGTCTTGGTGTAGTTCTGGTCTGAATCCTGGTCTGAATCCCAGTCTTGGTGCAAATCTGGGTTAAATCCTGGTCTGAATCCCAGTTTAAATTCTGGTCTTGGTTTAGTTCTGGTTTAAATCCTGGTTTAAATCCCTTTTTGAATACCGGTTTTGTTGTAGTTCTAGTCTAAATCCTGGTCTGAATCCCAGTTTGAATCCCTGTTTTGGCATAGTCCTTGTCAGAATCCTGGTTTGAAACCCAGTCCTGGCGCAGATCTGGTTTAAAT